ATCTTTCCAAACAGCGCCTCATGATGTTCTTGTTACATGTGGCAGTACAACTGAATCAAGGTTCCCAGGATAAGGAGTCCACAACCCTAACCCTCCCCTACTCTCTTTCAAACCACTATTCTTTCCCTTAAACTCATCCAAGGATTTCACCCATTCGATTTTGGAAGAATGCTCGCGAGTGTGAGGGTGCAACACAAAGATCGAGTTGTACTCGCAGTTTGGAAACATAAAGAATTTGAACGGGTGCCCTAACCTGTAAACGACGTAGCCAAAGCTTAACTGATCTCTCGGTGTAAAGAGGTTGACCTCGTTGAACCACAAGCAGCTAAATAAATCATTCAGCGCTGTATGTTCACGTATAATTATGGCTCCCTCTGGCACATCTGCATTTTACCACCAAAAAAACAAAACAAAACTGTCAATATAGCACAAATATGAGCAGAATACTAGAATAATAAAACGAGTTCTGAATTTACCATTATGTTGTATGGTACTTCTAACGGAAATTAAAGTGATTAGTCAAGAGCATTCATTATGTACAGTGTGCCTCATGACTTTGAGAAGATTATTCCTTCTTTTTCCTCCAAAAAAAAAATACCGCAAAGCCCATATCTCAGCAGAGATCCATGGGCATTTATTTTGAGGTGATCCACAAGTGATAACATTTCTGACCTTCACCTCCCTTGTGGCTTTGCTTAAAACCCAAAAAAAAGAAAAAAAAAAAGAAGAACAACAACAACAACAACAATTGAACTAAAATACGCTGGGATTTCTTTCTTACCACTGACGGTTTTTTTCTTTGGACTCCATGGCTTCATCCCTTCATAAAGGTATATTTTCATGTGAAGATCAATCAGAGGTCGAGCATATCGCTTCCTCCGTTTGTTTGCATCAGCCTCCTCATATATACTGTGATGGTGCTTGCGCTGAGCAATGGCAAATGTGTGCTTTCCGCGCCACAAGTATCTGCGAAATCATGACAAAATTTGTCTTAATCAAGAGGCCCCATTAGTTAAAGGTTAACTTGATTAGATCATCTCAAAAGTCACAGCATTATTGCAGTTTTGAACAATAGACTAAGATATCAAAACTTTTAAGGGCATAAGCATACTCTTCATCCAATTACATGCATATGTTTTGTTCCAATAATTCGCTTTACATATGCCAATAGAGATGCACTATGCATTAACGCACAATGTGCACACCATTACGCGCACATTGACATTTATGCAATCAATGCATCGACACTTTAGTCTTGTGTTTAACTTAAAGCTTGATTGAATATGAAACATTACAAATACAGATTTGTCCACATTAAACAAGAATAGAAGACCAGACCTTTCTAGCATAAGCAATGGATCGACTATTAGCTCCATTTTACCATCAATCCATATGCTGTACTGTGCTTGAGGAAATAATCTGTGGGTTAATATTTTGGGAACTTTTCCATTCCTCCTGGGTTCATCATAAGGTTGATGTTTCAGCAGAATAATACGCCAAATACCAACCCATTGTCCCCCATCATTGTCCTCTCTGACAGTAACATTCTTCTTGATGAAATCAATGGATATTTCATCCACCACCATAAGAAAACAGAAGAGCTGTTGAGATCGTGAGCTGACATTGGAAGGCTGATGAGGCACATCATATCCATCAAAAATGCCAGATGCAACCACAAACCTACACTTCTCCACATATTTGATGTCCTTTGGAGCCATCTCTGCAACGCCACCTTGAATGAAACCACAGTGCACCTAAAGATAGAAAACACAAGAAACAAGTAAAATCTGATACATATTCAGAAAGGAAGGCAAGAGTGACACTGTGTTCTCATAAAAATAGATTACACAGTAAACAATTAAAAGCTGATATAAGTTTAGAAGAGAAGGCAGAAGCGACGGTGTATATTTATTTACAATAATTCACTCACAAAAAGTTATGGTTGAATCATGTGCAGATCTACTTATCTCTCATTTTTTGCCATTTTGTTTAGAAGCCATCATCAAACTCAGCTAACATTATACATACACATTTAAAGAACAAAGCACATAATAAGCAATAGTACCATAATATTTTAGTTGACTGCAAATTGCCTCCAAGGTTTTTCATTTATCTAGATTGCAGGTTTTTCATTTATCAATGGGCCTTTAAACATAACACATATATCCAAAACGCAGAACATCTGTTCATTTAATGCAATATGCTCATAACATTTGGCTTAGCTTTGCATTAAGAATGACAAATAATCCTTTTGTTCCAAAAATACTTACTTGACCAAATGATATGGAGATTTGGTCAAGAAAATAAACAAAAATAAATTAAGAAGAATTGAACTGTAAATTGGGGTAAATATTCACCTTCATGATTGATTTTAGTTTAAAACTCTCCTCTCTTTGCAACCAGCTTTGATGCCCTCCAAATAGTGGAGGTGACTGAGATCCATTATTTTCTACCTCATCCTCCAAAATATATGATAAATGTTGAACAACTTTGTCAGGAGTTCTTCTCTTCGGCATAATTATTTTGTCCGGGTCATCCACGACGGGAATAGGACAACCTAATTGTATGCCAGCACAAACAATATCACTCGTCATCTTTACATTGAGATGAAAAATTCAAACAACAGACATTGCTGTGATCTTACGGTGTGTTGGTTTTGGTACAAGTCCCATTGTGTCTAACATTACAAATACCTTGCTGTCTCTGTTACAAATAGCTGCAAATGAAACAGAAAAATTATAGAACCATCATTTCAAACAAATAAAATAGAAAAATATGTGAATTTGGGGTAGAAAATTTGAATTGCATGTGAATTTTCAATTTTGCATCTAGCATGCATAGCCCAATCTCCTAATTCATACAAAAACTTTTAAGAACTAGAAAAAAATGAAGCCATGACAACAGGAACTGACAAAGAAATAACTTTCTTTGTGGCATTTCCTTAACTTTATAAGTTCAATTCCAAACACTTAAAAATCTTTCATACTGCTCCTTCCCAACAACACCAACCAAGAAGAAAAAGCGACCTTCCAAGGAGAGGCTTTGTATGGGCCATCTAACGCTAATGTGGCCAAGTATATTTTTGCCAACTGCCAGGTAATTTACCCTAAATATTAAATGTTTTGAAGAAGGATTGTGTCAGTCCCACGTTCAGGACTGTTAATTTCATAGATGCCACAAACAAACGCTTTTGACATCAAACCTTCTAATAAAAGAGCAGACAAAGTCCGCATTAAGGCAGTAATTGCATGTGCACCATATTACCATAGAATCAAAATGGGCAGCTGCTTCTTCTAGCAAATTTTCCTACTAGTGCACATAATAATGACGATCATTTATAAAAACTTTCTTCGATATGTCTGCTTAATTATTTGCCTTCATAATGAAAGCACGGAACCAACTTAAGAGATTGACCTCAGATGTTAATGTCAGTTAAAATATTATGCTAAATATTCTATCATTTACATCCTGCAAAAACTTCCTTTGAAAGGTTTCCATATCATAATATGAAGACAAGAAAGTATAAATTGAAAACTTATATTCAATTAATATTACCCCTCCGTCCCAAAATATTAGCCCCATTTGGAGAATTTAACTTTTTTTTGTAGTACAATTGTTACACTTCAAAAATATTAACTTTCTAAAACTACCCCTTGGTAGTACAAGTATTACACTCCAAATAATGCTAATGAATTTAAAAGAAGGGTAAAAAAGGAAATTCATGTTATTTTAGTTATTGAATTTTTAAAAGAGACTAATATTTTGAGATAGTGAAAAATAGAATAAGAGACTAATATTTTGGGGCGGAGGGAGTAACAAGAAATAATTACAATTCTTTGAATAAGAGACGTACTGATATCTCCAAAATACCTGAAAAGAAAGCTAGGGAAGATTGGCAAGACCAAACATGAAACAATAGTACAATGAGAATGAGCAGCATCCACAAGATGCCCCCCACAAGAACCAAACGAATAAAAGCCTTCTTCCAAAGAATCTTCAATGGGTAATCTTGAGACAACTTCAGTCACAAATTGATTAAACAATGACTCCTGAATTCGATCAAAGAAGGTGCTGACATGGAATGAAGACGCAAGGACCTTAACCACGAGGGTCTTCACTAACCATAACAATGCACCAACCAAGAAACAAACCAAAACCTTATTCACAAACAGAAGGAACTTAATGTTTGTCTCTCTCTCAATCCTTTTATCAAACAGATAATGCCAAGCAATCAAAACCATACCCAACCAAATACAATTCTGAACCGGCTTCCTCACTCCATACACGAAATACAGAACCCTTTTTCAATACTATCCTTATATACTTGTATCTTGTAACATTTTCGATACTATCCTAAAAACACAAACCATCCCAATGAGTCAAATTTTATCCTGTGTTTTTTTCCCTTCACAATTATTGTATTTTTAAATTAAGTTTTGTAAAGGAGAATGCTTGATGAAAGTCATTTTGATACATTTGAGATTTTGTCTCCAAATGTGTATTTACATGGTGAAAGCACAAAAGCACTTTATGATTTTAAAGGACTTCTTAGATGAACATATACCAAACATTCATTTTCTCTAAAAAGTCAAGTCTTATGAAGTTCTTCTATAGAGTTGATAGGAAATGCCACGAGTATACAAGGATCAAACTTTTCAAGAGCGAGTGAATTAGAAAGGTAACAGGCATATTAATCACCACCTTTTCTTTTCTTTTTTTGAAGGTGGTGTGAACTAAACTTCATTATTCCTGTCCTAAGTCCTAACTACCCAAGTTTACCTTGTCGTACACTAGAAGAAGTCAGCAAAATGTGTATATTGAGGTTGTGCTAATTAAATATATAGGCTTTGTTTGGATTTCTATGTGATTAGTCTAACCAACACGTATCTAAAAAATGCTCAAACAAACAAAGTGTAAGAGCAAAACTTCAAATAAAGATGCATACATGACTTGTGCTTCAAAGATAGAAAAAAGAAAACAAGGTAAATAACAACACTAGAGAAATGAATGATTATGAGATAATATTAATTGAAATAGCACACAATTGTGCATACAGCACTACCGTCACTTGTTTCATCAAAATTGCAATTAAATTGATTGCTTTCATATACACAAGGAATATTGGAGACCATATAAAGAAGAAAAAAAAGTTCAGCATTATTAAGCAATTGACAACAAAAAAAATACGAAAAATCTTGATTTTTCCTTCCTTCTATGCATTTCATTGTTGGTGTGTGAACATATCATCTCAACACATGCCACACTTGATCTTCTTGTGTCGTGGTGGTATATGGAACTTTGGCTCTTTGGGTATAGTGCAATGCTTCATCGACCTGAAAATAACCCGAAACAAACAAGGGACATCGTTATGTTTACACCACTTATGCCAGTCAAATGATGCATTAGAAAACTTCTAGGTTTGAGGTTTATTTTACAAAATTGGAGATCCAAACAACACCTGATCAATAAAATGTGCTGGAAAAGTTGAGCCTACAGTAAGTGACACCGAAGGGAAAAAAATGTATATAAAAAAAGAAGAAAGAAAGCAATGTATACAAACTACATATTGCTTTTTAAGAATCGTTTGAAGGAGAGGGTCTATTTGAAGTCTTTAGTAGGAGAAGTTATCTAGCAGGTTCAGCTTTCCACGCCCACCAAAATAGACATGATATCTTCTTGTATAAAAAATTGAAACAAGTGGATCATATGTTTTTCTAATATTGAAAAGACACACCATGTGTCCTATAGGCCAAACCTACTAGATAATTTCTCTATTCAGTAGGTTTTTGGTTATCCATATTCAAATGGAAAGCCATGTATAGCAAAAGAAGTTTTTAAAAATTCTGGATTTTATCTGGTACCTTCTAGGGATGAAAGTCCTGTCGAAATAGGGCATGAGTTGAGCTTTTGGAATGAGCTCCTTTCTTAGTCTCCTGATTTCCTCTTCTTCTGCTAACTACAGGAGCAAAATCCAGCATGCACATATATATCAGTAAACTACCAAGACTAATATCACCAAAACACACCCATAAGATTTTTTCTGTCATGTACCTTTTGTTGTCTTTCCCTTTTCTCCCTGTACTGTTCAACAAGGCTCATCTTCTTAGCCAGCTAATATGCAATCACAGAAGCAAAATTAAAAGGTAATTCAATAAAGGGGATTTCATTATTGCTATGTAATATGCGCGAGAACGTGAGTGAATGGTAAAGACTATAGTAATGACATAATGCCTACTCTGTATGTGATAGGTGAGTGAAGTTATGGTCATTATGCCCAAAACAATTAATACATGAAAACCTTGAGTAAAAATATTTAAAGAAAGTTAAAAATGCACCTGTTGGTCAAACTCAGCACGCTTCACAGCCCTCACATCGCTATGCAGCACCAAATCAACCGGTCTTGTGATTTCTTTGACGGCAGGTTTTACTAAGCACTGTAATATATAAATCCAGTAAGTTGCCATTTGGACATTCCCAATAATATTTTATTTTTTTCGGAAGTCGATAGCATTTGAAATTAAATGGAATTACCTCTGGCTCATCTGTTGTCAATGGGAGACCTTGTGCGATTGGTATCCGTTGCTTTTCCTCCTCCATCGTCATTTGTTGTAATTTCTTGACGAATTCTTCCTCCTTGAATCTTCCCCTTTGCTGCAATAAAAATCAATCACCAAAATTAACATGATTTCAAGTAAATTGAGGCAAAGACAGAAGGATTTAAAAGCAAAAGTCAATTTCACAAAACCATAAACACACACCTCTGTGCAAAGATTGAAGGGCTTTACTTTTGATCTAGCATTTCCTTTTCGATTTCCATTGCTTGGTTTGGGTTTTATTTTCTCACTGGAATTCAACCGTGAAGATTTACTGATTAAATTCTTGATTGGGTGATGCTTATTTGATGCAACGCCACAGCAATTGCTCTGTCCCCAATCCTTGATTCTGTTGTTTTTTGAGACAGATCGTGGAAGCTTTGGAGAAGATGTTTTGTTTGTATTCCCCTCACCAACACGAGAAAATGCAGAAATTAACTGTCGGGAAGAACTTTGATGGGACCTGAATGCCATACATTTAGCCATTCTCATTTAATGGACTACAATTAGAAAACACCCCAACAAAATTTACAATATAGCGAAGGTGAAGTACTTACAAATGGCTTATTTTGAACCAGTTATCATCACTGCAATGTAACAGAAGAAGATTACACTTGGATTCAAGATGTGGAGTCTTACAATTGACTTACAAGAAACGACTTTACAAGAAAACATGGAGGAACCATTTTTAGAACCAGTTGTAAAGAAACTCACTTGTCTTTGTATCCAGACGTGGCTTCTAGATCGAGATCTATCCACATGGGAGCTTCGATTTCATCCTGTATATGTGAAAATCAGCAGTAATGTAACACCAGACTCTCTTGGAAATTAATACAAACCCAAAAGACACATTTTAGATTCTCACAATTATTGGATTCAAAACAAGACAAAATGCAAAGTAGACATGATGAATATTTAAAACAAAAACGAAGAGAGATGAAGGGGGAAAAAATTATTAAAGGCTGGAAAAGAATGAGGAAAAGGGGGTCAATAGTATGAGACAAAAAAAACAACAGATTCAAAACAATAATTAATTCCAAGAAGATCAAAACCTAGTTTTAAACATGAACCCAAATAGACCAAGATCAAGAATCCATAACATATTGAAGTGAATATACCATTCCCAGATCAAAAAATAACCAATCAACAGGAAAAGAAAGAAATAAAAACCTATAAATTTTTTTCTTCAAAATCATAAGAAACACTAGTGAGTTCAATCATTTCCAAGATTCAAACCAACCAATAATCAATGCGGGTTGAGATTAGCGAATCAACAAGTAAACCATGAAGAAAATGAAGAACCAAAAATTACCAGAAAAGCCCACGGATCGACTGGTTCAACAACGCTCTTCCTCGGAGGAGCAACTACTGTATCTCTGTTTTCGGCGATTTCTGGGTCTTGTGTCTACATATCCAACATGTTAGACTACCAAATGCTGGACAAACTTGTAACTTGTAAGTAATAAATAATAATACTCATAACATAGAATCATATTCCAAAGTTATATATTCTGCTGGCATGGGCATTTCTCACCCTTTCGTTTTATTTTTAATGTTTACATTAATGTTGTGCTTAGAGAAGAACACAGCTGCCAGAATTATAGATTATAATAGTATCAGACAATCATTAAACCAAAAGAACATCAAGAATAACCATGATGAAATTGTAAAGGTTTTCCAAAGATCATAGCACAATTAACGAGAATCTCTAGACTAATTAAAATTTTAAAAAAAGATAAAAATAATATGCACAGAAGCATCTGGAAAGTGAATTGCCTTGCTAAATCATAGAAAGTCCTCCCCCTCCCGGACAAAGCGTCCGTTTTGGGTACCCTGGATGGGTCGATGCATTAACTCATATGGCTTCCCTGCCTTCTTTGCTCTGGCTCTCCCAGCCATCTCCTTACCTTTTCTCACCCAATCCTCTTTGGTGGGCAGATAACCCAAACCAAAGGTATGTGGGTTGTGCGGCACTTCGGCCAACGCTGCAACGCCCTTCCGGCCGCTCATTCCCAATCCCATCCTGGGGATGTGTTGAAGCTTGTTCATGAGGTATACTGATTGTGCACTGACATACACTCCCTCATTAATAGCCAAAATGTTCTGCATGACCCGGGCCTCAGCCAGAGTGAAACCGGATAAGAACACATCCTCCATACCATGCTCAATTTCCAGGACTGGTGTAGACACCTCTGGCGGTGGATGGATCGATGAATTCTCAAAAACAATGGCTACTCCCTTCCCATGGAGGTATTTCACCATCTGATGTAAGGTGGACGAAACTGCCTTCACCTAGTGCAGCCACGGCCGCCCCAAGAGTAGATTGAAGGTTACAAGAACTTCTAAGACATGAAAGTCTACCTCATGCTGTCCTGGCCCAACCTTGGTCTGAATTTTCATTGTCCCCATTACTTCCCGGCTTGTGTTATCATATGCCCGAATCACTTGGGCTGTCGGCACAAAGTCTGCGGTCTTTAAACCGATGGCATATGCGGTTCTTGCCCGGCACACATTGATGGCGGACCTTGTATCAACAAGCACCACGGGTATCCATTTGTTTCTACACTCCACAGAGATGTAGAGTGGCTTGTTATGGTTCGCACCCTCAGTTGGTAGTTCTTTGTCAGAGAAAGTCAACATCGGGGTAGCCCCTCTCGGAAAAACTAAGCCCACCAGCTGTTCGGGCGTGGTGTCTATTGAGAGCTTGGCCTTGTCTATGGCCGATAAGACAGCTTGTCGATGCACTCGCGATGCCATAAGCAATCCCTAGATGGAGATGCCTGCTTGTATCTTTTTCAACTACTTCAGTACAGCCTCTTCTTCGAGTTGCTTCTCTTTCTGTTTCTCCGCCTCCTTATCTTTCCCAGACACCTCTGGCTGATCTAGATGTGGGGGCTTGAAATACCGTCCGCTTCTAGTCATATGATCGACTTCGTCGATGTACCAGGTATCGTTTGGCTGGTTACTCCCCCAATCTTCATCTATGTGGGCAAGACATAAATCATCGTCTTCCCACCACATTCCGTCGGCAGCCAACAGACACCTATCCGGCTCCGGTACAATTGTACTCGCAGTACTTTCCATCCACATGCTCGCAACATTCTCTATCCTTGTACACACAGTACTTTTAGTCCCCATGAGGGCCTTGGCTTTTCTGATTCTCTCAAACTCCTCGATTCCTTTTTGCTCCAACTGCGTCAGTATAGCTGGCTGCTCTATAATTTCTATATTCCAAATGCCCAGATTTTGAGCGAAATTCTTAGTACCGGTGCTTTCCGGCAATGCATGCTGATTTTCGGCCTTTCCGGCCACAACTGATGTTCTTGCCCCTGCCGGGGCCCATTCCAACTGAGTTTCGTCGACAATATCTGGTAGTTCATCAAGCCACCCAGTGACCTCTGCTGACTCCTCAAAATCAGACCAGTTGACTGCCATGCCCTCTGGATCTTATTCATTGAAAAATTGGAGTTTAGCAAAGTCTCCTTCCACAGCTGCCAAGTCATCTATCCTCTGACCAAATTCACTCCCCTGTATCACACAAAGCTCTGTCCCTGCCGGCAATTCCACATTTGGTCCAACCTGGCCTACTAATAGAATGTTGTCACTTGGACTGTATACCTCCTCAGCAAAACTCCTAGATTCCTCGGATTCTGACTCAACAATCCCATTCTCCCCTGAAATCTCCCATGTTACCACCATTGGTCCGGGTTGGGTTCTAGAGATGTCCAACATGCACAAGTCAGTGCAGTCAGGAAGGAGCACCTCCGGCTTGGGTAGGTGGGACGGGGTCATATATATGCTAGGATCGTAAGATACGACCCTAGTCTAGATAAAGTTGATACGTTTGGGGGGTGGAGCTTGGTTGTGCGGTGGGAGAGGGTTTGTTGTGATATTGGGTTTTTCGGGAGGCACAATCACCTGCTTGTCAACGAGATCCTGGATCTCGTGACGCAGTCTAAAACATTGGTCAGTGTCGTGACCATGTTGTTGGTGATATGCGCAGTATTTTGCTGGGTTATGAGAGGGAGGGAGTGGATTTGGCAATGGCCTTGGCTCCAGGGGCATATATAATGGGGTGAAGGTCCTTTGGCCTCGAGGTTGGTATTTGGTGGTTTGTGTGTTGCTTTCGAACGCGCCGGAGAAAGGTGTAGCTGCCATGGGTCTTGGAGGGGAAATGGTGGTGACTATTGTAGACGTGCCCGCGTGGGGGGCCCTCGCTACAATTCGGACTCGATTTGTGTCACGGTTCTTAATATGAACCAAAGAGTCCAAATCCGGCAAATCGTTTTGAGAAACAGATTTTTTGAAAAGAAGTGCCAAACATGGACTGCTTTGCCAGATACAGAGTCGCCACCTAAATATTTTAAAATGGGGCAATTTAGGAAACCCTGACTCGGTGCCAAAGGCCACGTGTCCGTCATCACCAGAATTCCTTGGCTCGGGAACTTGGGTACGATCGGGGAAGGTCAGCTATGAGCACCCCCTCTCACCCGATCCGAAGATCGGCCTCTACTAACCGTGATATCCAGTTTTGAAAACGTTATGTGTTCTTATTCCAATTATTAGCCTATAATTACTATGTTATGCGCACAGCACACAAATATAGACTAGATTGCCTAATTTGCAAATAAGCATTGCATATCCGTTTGTCTTTGAAAAACACTTTGGAATTTGCTACTCGCAAGTAGGCTAAAATACGGATTTCAACGAGTTTTTCCAACTCAGACAATCCAACCTTCACCCACAGGCATTCAAACAGTTTATCACATAGCCCGGAGGGACCAAATAAATATTACAGATAATTAACCTACAAGCTAATTAAATATTACAGGCCATCTAATTAGCTAAGCAAATTAACTAATCTAGGGAAAACAGATAAACTGCCTCGGGAAGAGAGCCCAATGCAATGCATACTTGGTCCTGCTCGGAAGTACACTGCCATGCGCAAGCTGTCTCTATTTTTCCTGCTATACTCCTCTGCAGATTGCCAAAGTCTCAGGATGTGCTTACTGGATGTTGAGGAGTGCCACCGGCTGGAGGGAATCATCACCGGCTGTGATTTGGTGTCCATCGGCACACAATGGATCCATCGGCCACCGATTTATTGCCGGTCGGCACTCTATGCAGTCGATCGGCAAGAAGTTCCTGCAGAACCTGTTTGACAGTAGCAGAGGACAGAACTTTGCATGGCAATGCAATTCAAGCCATATATGCACCAATCATGTCCCTTATCATGTGAGTAAGTCAAAGGGACATGCTCCTTGGTTCTCGGACCATCAATCGCGCATTTCCATGCGTGATGGCCCAAGGGACCAAGTGTGCACATTTTGATGTCAAATGCAATGCAAACCAACAAACCAAAGCCCAATTCCTATCACTAGATCAAGGAACAAGACAGGCATGCCAGATGGAATGCAACCTAGGCATGCAAGCTAAGGATGCAACATGGGAATGCAAGATGTACATGCAAGCATGCAAACAAACATGCAAGGTAAGAAAGCAAAGGATGGACTTAAGTATGATTTAGGCAGCTCTAATTAGGCCCAAAACAGTGGCCATAAGTGCTATGAAATGAGGACTAAACACACATACACACATGCACATGTTAAAGGGCTAACACTCAAGCACAAAAGGGCAACTCTCAAGCACACTTGAAAGAGGCATAACATGGACATATGGCACGCATTATAAGCCTTGAAAATATGTAGGAAATGATGCTGAATCAACCTACCAATGCAAGCTATGCATGCAAGCAAGCCCAAGGACCTAAAACATGATCATATGACTCATGAAGCAAATGACCAAATTGAATCAAAACAGTCCCAAATCATGCAAAAGTAAGCCTCAAGAACCACTTAGATGGCATCTAAATGACCTAATCCTAAAGGCGTACACAATGGCACAAACATGAAGCATGAAACATCAACTTTTGAAGCATCGAAAGGGCCATGAAATGCGAGCATATGAGCATGCTAAGTGGACTGAAATGACATGGTGGATAGTTCCAAACCACTAAATCAATGCAAGAATGGCATGCTAGAAGGGCCAAAGCTTAAGGCATACGAAAGGAATTACATGATAGCTATACAAAGCAAGGCATGAATGACTCAAATGACTTAAAACAGTCCCTTAGCACACCAAATCATGCAAGTAAGCTTCACAAAGCTTGGCCAAAACACAAAAGCTTGATAGTCTAAATGCTATGCATGTATTGAGGCAAATCATGGCATTATAAGGTAGGTATGCTAAGCATGCACGGTGTACCAAAACCAATTAAAAACATAGGCATATCATGACATAATAAGCACAAAAATCAGCTAAGGCATAGTCAACAAGAGCCTAAGCTAGGTGCTCCCTCAAGAGGCCAAAAATGGTCCTTTTCAAGGACAACAAGGAGAGGGGCTGGCCCTCTCCTCCCTAGGACCTCAAGGCACCATCCTCACCTCTGAAATCCCTCAAGATTTCAGTGGTGAGGAGGCCCAAACACCAAGGTCCCGGAGCTCACTCAAAATAGCACAAAATGGGGCCTCTCAAGGCCTAAGAGGGGTCAAACACCTCCAAACCACAAAACACTCTAAACAAACTATTTAGAGGGCCCAAAAAAAGAACTTTTTTATATTATACACTAAGCTCAAAAATAGTTTTAAGATAGGCAAAAATAGTATGCAAAAATGGAGAATAAAAGGGCAAAATTGTTA